TTAGGTGTATGCTACGGCACTCCAACCAAGTGAGCCACTCGGCCAGGACTTCCTGGGCTAGTTTTCCCAGTGCTTAGCAGGACTCTTATTTCGATCCAGGGCACAAAAAGGACTGGCCCCTGTTTGACACCAGCTCACTGAGGCGGAGCAAGGTGCAGTGTGGGATGGCTGAGAGCAAATAACTCCTGGGATGATGGAGCTGGGAATGTCTACCCAGGCTTTAGATGCCTTCTTTTTCTCTCCTCCCCCTCCCTCAGCCCCAACACAAGCGAAAAACACATTATGAAGCAGGCAATGACAAGGCTTAGTTAAACATGGAGGGCGCCGTGTCCAGCGGGAAAAGCAAGCACCGATCTTGGAGCCCAGAGCAAGAGGGGGGAAGGGTGGAGTGAATCCTTTCCAGCTTAGCTTCCGTGCTACTGGGAGGACAGGTAAGGAGGTGGCTGCATATGTGCCAGGCCCCGCCCTGGCCAGGCAGACACTTTCTCTGCACTAGGACCCGCAGGGGAAGCAAGCGCCACCGGGTAGGCTCGGACTGCATTTGGAGATGCAGTGTCACCCGGAGACTGCTCCTCTGGCCGGACCCCTCCGCACCAGGACCAGCTCCGCCCTGATCCCCGGTGACCTGAACTTTGCTACCCGCCCACGCGCAGTAAATACTCACCCTTCTCTCAGGCCAGTGGTGGCCGGGCCTCCGGGTCTATGGCGCTTGACTCTCGGCCCCAAACCTCCATAGTGTCTGGGGCAGGAGCCGCCAGCGGCGCAAATGACTCCAAGGCAGCAGTTGCCAAGGAGCCACAGTGAATCGCCCGCATGGACGTGCGGGCTTAGGGAGTCCCGGGTGCCTGCTGTGGAGGACACTCCCTCTGCCAGTGCCCCACCTGAAAAGCAGTCGGTTCTCTCCCACTCTCGCGTGGACACAGCGCATTGGGTAGTTTATGGCTGGGGGTTAGGACATGCCTGGTCCCGGAGAGCCCGTTCCAGTGACAGGGCGGTTCCTGTGACTCGGCGGTTTGTGTGACCTGGCTTCCCTAACGTCTGCCTGGTCCCGGAACCCTGGCCGTGATGAACTGTGCCGCACGCGCACGCGCTACACGAACCCTCAACGGCCTTGGGCGACTGGGCCTCTAGGTGCAGAGCCAGGGCTCACCCAGAAAACCTGAAAGGCCTGCAGGATGGAGAGAGCCCCTCCCCCTCGGGGGCTTCCAGGCTGCACCTGGCAGTCTGTCCGCATGTGGACAGGAGCCTGGGCCAAGCCGACCGAGCGTCCGCGGGTGGGGGCGGGGCTCATCCGCACCCCCCACACTTCCAGGCCCTCAGGCAGATGTAAATCCCGGTCACAGCTCGGTGATACTAGAAACAGAAAGCATGCCAACCAAGAGCCAAGCTAGCCTACATATGCACATTTACCAGGAAATCCTTACATCCTAAGCACAGAAATGAATTGATTGTGCCGAGCTAATATGTGAAAACAGAAAGACAGACTTTGAATGTACGGGTTTCATTAGCAGTCAACTCTAATTCATTAATTAAGGAGGGCCTTGTGAAGGAGGAGGGGTTTCAGGCAATATCAGGTAAATTTCAGAAAAATGACCCTAAAAAGCACTGATGTGTTGTCAGGGGTCCACCGACTCAGGACAGCAAGGGGCGAAATCTCACCCCATGGTCCAGGCTCCTAAGAGAAGTCACAGGGACACATGTGCCACGTCCCCCACCTCACTGAACTCACAGGGACTCTGAAAGGTGGGGAAGACAACAAAAACACAGAGGTGGCGATATCGAGTTTCTTACTCTCTGTCAATTTACAGCTCTCATCTACCTCTGATATCGAGGGCTGCTTAGGCGATGCTGAAAGAGAAAAAGGAGAGGTGTCTGACAGGGCTAACTCCCCCCACTTCCCCACCGCCAGCTCAGATCCCGGCTTCTGCTCCTCGGCCTTTGTCACCTCCTTGCTGTCTCTCCAGCCGCTCACATGGCTTCCAAACAAGCTGAAAAGCTGGTCTTCAGCGAAGGGAAGAGCTCCCGCGGAACTTGCCTGGCTTCTCAGAACACGCTCACAGGGAGCCCTGTGGCAGGAGCAGAGCCTGAGGGTGGCCATGAGGGCGGGCCGAGGGGTGGACTGGCTAAACTCTTAGAACCTGCCGGTCTTTGGGAGACGGGACTCCAGTGCGCTGCAGCCTAGCAGAGTGTTCTTCCGGTAAGCCTCCTCTGTCCTCCACTCTTCCTTTCCCTGCCTCTGCGATGCAACTTGCCCAGTCATGCCGAGCGCTGAGTCACCACCCACTCTGAAGGCTCTGCCCTAGAAGCCGGTCGATTCTTCCTCCTGAGCTCACCCTCCTCAACCAGAAAGCCGCCCCTCATCACCTGCCCGGGGACTGTGTATTACCTACTAATGCTTTCCAGTCGGGAAGCTCCTGCTCCAGCCCAAGGTCCATGTGAACCAGACAGACTTACTACCCTGCCTCCAGCGCAGCCACTCCTGTTTGTGTCTGTCTCTCTTTGTGACTCTGCTGTCACTTCCACCCCATTCCCTGAGTTGGGGAGACTCTTTCTCATATCTGAGGGTCTCAGGAAACCCCCTAACACACGTTAACCCAGGTCAACCGCCTCAGGTAACATCACCTGCTCGCAGCAGGGAACCGTCCAGGAGAAGATGGTGGAGGGAGAAGGGAGCTGCCTGAGGTTGACAGAGGCCCCGAGGTGAACGTGGCCTAGGGAGTCCGTGGGTCGAGGCCACAGGCCATCACGGGAGCTCATCCTGGACAGGCCCAGCCTCCTCTGATCATCTTCCCGGATGAAATTCCTTCTCTTCGTACTGGGTGAGCTCAGACCCAGGGAGGTCCCACTGACTTGAAGTGTGGAAGAGACACATGGCCCTTGAGCTCGAGATGAGGTCTCAACAGCTGCCCCCACCCCCTGGGGCACATGCCTATGGTTCAACCCAGCAGCTGCGGCCTCTAACACAAAATTCCAGAGCATTTCTGTCACCTAACTGGGCCAAGGGGCGTCTTCACATATCGATTAGGAGTGACATGGTTTCAACCTCTGCTCGCATGGTGACACAGGAGTGAGTAGAGGAGGGCAATGTTGCCATCACTGTGAATGAGGAAGACACTTTGTGTGCTATAAATAGAGCTGCAAACACTTAGAGGTGAAAACATAATTCCACCAGGAAATGTGCACTAAATGCTCAAGCTGGCAACATGTTCTGAGCTGTATCAGCAAAGACAAAGGCCATAGATGAAGCCATTGCACTCGATCAAGGTTTAAGTTGTGTGCTCCTGTACGGACGGTGTTAACAGAATGGCGCCTTAAGCCACAGGCTATTGGCAAGTCGTATACCTGATTTAAAAAAATAAAACTTTAACAGAACGCATTTAGTGAAATACTTTTCAAAAGAAGCTCCACCAAACATCATATGAAGATGGCAAATGAGCACATGGAGAAATGCTCAGGCTCAGAAGGTGTCAGGGAGATGCCGGCAGAAGCCACAGTGAGACAGCGCTACACCCCCACGTGAGTGTCTGAAGTTCCCGTCGGTGACCGTGCGGAGCGCGGGCCAGGACGCGGCACAGTCATCGCTCCCGGGTCCTGCTGGTGGGGGTGAAAAGGATGAAGTCAGCTGAAAAAATGTTTGGTACTTCCTAACATGTTAAACATATACCTCCTAGCATGTCCCACTCTTGTATATCAAAGAGAAAGGTACACATACTGTATGTGCTTACAATGGGTCCACACAAATATCCAAGGCAGCTTTCTTCATAATCACTGCAAATTGGAAATGACCCCGATGTCTCTCAGTAGATGGCTGTTTGAATGCAGTGCGCGATATCCACAGAGTGGGTACTGTTAGCAAGTAAAAACCTCATGGATGTGCGGTACAGTATGGATTAAATTTTAAAGTGCCAGATGCAACATATGGACAAACAATGCAATTATTTCAATTTTCTACTATTCTAAAAGAGGCAATCGAATGTATGTGGGGAAAATGCAAATCAATGCTTGCCGGGGGACTGAGGAGTGGGGTAAAAGGAAAGGAACTTCAAAGAATATGGATACAATTGGGAGGTTGAGAGATGTTTCAATATGTTGATGTTGGAATGATTTCTCAGGTTTATATAAATGCCAAAATTATCAAATGCTACACATTAAATATGTGCAGTCGGCTGCCTGTCAAATATACCTCCTTAAATCAATGAATATGTGTCCATTATTTAGTAGAACAGAGAAGGTTCATTGCAACCTGGACCCAAATAGGCTTCCGTGTCCAGCCAATCCGTTGCCATCTGACACCGCAACGCTCACTCTGTCACCCTTGTCTCCACAACCTCACTTCACCATGTGTCAGAGTATGTGCCAACTCTGGTACTTCTTCGGACAAACCAGCCAATCTTCTCAAAACGCTTTCCTCCCCAGCAGGACCCACGGGGCCCTCTAAGCCCCGATCCCCAGGCCCCGCCCTGTGGCCCCTGTCGCGACGGCAGGTCAGGGCCAAAAAAAAAAAAGGTCAGAGACTTGGGGTGTAGCAGGGGCTGCGCCCAGGGACGTCTGTGGACCAGTCTCAAATTAGCATCCCAAACATCATTTCCATCCACAGACGCATTCAGTGCAGTGAGCGGCAGGGCTGCGGAGGATCCACAAGAGCCAGACAGTGGGTGACTCCAGCTGTGCGATCCCCCAAATACCCAGGCCGGGGGCCTGGGTGCCTGTGGTAGCCAGTGGGGACCTTGCAACTATATGCTCCCTAGGCTGGGCAGAGCCTCCTGCTCACTGGTCTGTGGAAGGTCCCAGCAGCTGCTTCCCCCTAGAGCCTCCCCGGGGGGCAAGCTCAGTCTCACGCCTCAGCTGCTCAGTGCAATCAACCAGGCTCAGACTTGGCTGGCTCTCAGGGCAGAAAAGGTGCATCATCAGAGGAAACAAATAAGCGTGAACAGCCCCTCCTCTTCCCAGGCAGTGGGGAAGATAAAAGAGGCCCAGCCCACCTCAGGCCTCAGCTGCGGCCACAGGAAGCTGTCTGCACCATGGCCTGGACCCCTCTCCTCCTCATGCTCCTCTCCCACTGCACAGGTATGGAGGTGTCCATGGTCAGCCAACAGTCCTCTGTCAGCCCCCTGTGCCTTAGATCCTTAGGCTGCTCAAAGATATTCCTGCTTCAGCGCCCCTGAATGTCTGTGCTTGCAGGTTCCCTCTCGCAGCCTGTGCTGACCCAGCCGCCCTCCCTCTCTGTGTCTCCGGGAGCCACAGCCAGACTCACCTGCACCCTCAGCAGTGGCTTCAGTGTTGGTGATTACAGGATACGCTGGTACCAGCAGAAGCCAGGGAGCTCTCCCCGGTATCTGTTGAACTACTACTCAGACACAGACAAGCACCAGGGCTCCGGGGTCCCCAGCCGCTTCTCTGGGTCCAAAGACGCCTCGGCGAACGCAGGGCTCCTGACCATCTCTGGGCTGCAGCCTGAGGACGAGGCCGACTATTACTGTGGTACGTGGCACGGCAGCAGCAATGCTTACACAGTGCTGCAGAGTCACGGAGAAGTGAGACTGAAACCCCCCTGTGCTCTGTCTGCCGGGGGCTGACACCCCTGATCGGCCTGGGACCAAGGCTCAGTCAGGGTGACATTTGTTCCCACTCCTTCAGTTGGCAACTCTTTTCCAAAGACTCATGGAGGCACAATTTTTTTATCTTCTTGTCCGTAGTTAAACATTCTGTGTCTCCCTTGTTAATATCTTTTCAGCCCGCCCATGGCCACACAGACACCAATGCATCCGCAGGCCACCTAACCGTCCAGGGACATGATGTACACGAAAAAAGATGGCGATGCCCACCCATGCCCAGCCCAGCATCTAGGCCTGAGTCACAGGTGTGGGTGGTCTGAGGGCTTCCAGTGGGTCACTGGGTGCAGTGAGCCCCAAGCCCAACTCCCAGGAACCTGCCCCGAGAGTGAGTTTACATCCGTCTGCACGTGGCCATCGTGGCCTGTCCCTGGGAACTGTTTTCTCCTCTTGGGGCTCCAGGATAGCAGGTCTCTCTGGCGCCAGGGATGGTGAACCAACAGGACCTCCTCCACATTGAAAGACGGTTGTGTGTGATTCTCCATGGGCACCAGGGTATCAGCAAAGCCCAAGAAAGGCAAAACTCTCAGAGGAAAGACGCGGGTGGGATTCAGAGAGTAACACCCCTTGCCACGTGGCTCCATCGCCCATCACGTGGGCCACTGGGAGCCGCGAGGAGCGTGTGGTTTGTGTGCGCAATTAGGATCAACCTCCTTTTGTTTTAAGCTTTAACCTTCTTCCTCAAGTCAAGTGACATATTCTGTTTAAACAACTTCAAATTGTTGTGAAATTCTAAGATTCCACAAGCTCAAGTTTATGCAAAGATCCCACAGGTGTGTCCTGGAGAATAGAGAACAGTCTTTTCACTTTTCAAATATCCAGGATCCCTGACCAGTGAGATTCACAGTGATGGGTGAAACAATCCAAATCAAGCATCTTGTGCTTATATTCCTCAGGCGGCTCATACCCTGGAGAGATTGGAATGTGTACCGGGCAGGGGGCGCTGTGGGGCTGTCCTAAGGGGGAGCGGGATCTGAAGTCCCCATTCTGGGATATACACTTGGGTGCCCAATAATGTGACGCAATTAAATTTTTACCTGAAAGTCTTGTAAATCTCTTCTTCATTAAAACCGCAACCAAAAATATTGCAGTTGTGTACTTACACTTCTATGTCTGCTTCTTCCTGGACACTGAAGATGTGCTATGAGGCAAGTTAAGTGAGACAAAGGCACCCACGTAAGGGGTGTCTGCAGAGCTTCGGGGCACAAGGTGGGGAATTGAGACAAAAGAACCCCACTCAATAGGAGTGGTGTCCAATAGCACATATTCAGAGTAAGTGGGAGTGAGATGGGTGTTACGGGTGAGGGGCCACTTGTTATAGTAACAGGTAAGAACGCAAAGAAGGACGTATTGGTCATGCAAATAAATGGGGACAGTGGCCTTTGGGCTATGCAATGGGGTAAGGAGTACGGAGGGTACCAGGGGGAGCTCCGAGAAAGTGGCAGGAGAGCTGAGGAGGCAGCTGGAGGCCAGGTAGTTGTGATGACTTCTGCTAACAAGGAAAAACATGGTCATGGTAGTACTGCTGTTGGGGACTGACATGCATATGTAGGTGTCTGCTTACCAAAATCCCAGCTGCGAAGGGAATAAGGTGAGTAGAGCAGTAAGACAGGTCGGGAGAAGAACCCATCCCATCCTGCAGCAGAAGATAGTGGCCACGTCTCGGGGAGGAGAGTGAGGGTGAAGAGCATGGGAAACGCTGGCCCTGGGCCGTGCTGGAGGTTTAGTGAGGGGTACGTGGATGGGTCTGAGATGGCTCCCATGCTTCCGGTTGGGGATTTGGTTGGATGGTCCTGGTCCAGATGCAAGAGGGGCACACATGGTTGACATGGGTTAAGGAGAGAGAATGTTTGAGTTTTCTTTTTTATTCATGACTTCATGTGTGTGAATTAAAATAAATTACTGAGCGGCGAATAAACACCATGATGCGTCAGACATCAGTGAGGAGAGAGGGAGGAGCTGGTCACCCCAGGCCCTGAAATAGACGGTGTGGGGTGGGGCCGTCTTTGTGCCCTCTGTCCTTCTGTTCTCTGAATGGAGGACACGTTCACTCTTAAGGTTGAGGCACCTCTGGTCCAACAACATCATTATCGAAATGGTAGGAGGTCACGTCTTTAGAGTAAAGCATGGGGACACCTGTAGCACAGGAGGAGCCCTGGGGGAGGAGAAGCCCCCACGGAGTGCGGGAAGGGTGGCGCCCCAGGCAGGGCTGAAGCCCAGAGCCTCACTCTGTCCCCTGGGCTCTTGCCTCTCAGTCCCATTCATAAGAAATTCTGGACACTAAAACAGCAGGGGGCGCTGTGGGCCCATCCCTGAGGGTCTGTGGGGGTCTCAGCTGGGAAACCAGGGCCAGGGCCCTGTGCTCTCTGCTCTGTGCTCACTGGGGACCAGCAGCTGTGACCTCCCAGGGCCCCCCAGAGAGGCTCTTGCAGCCTCACGCACACTCAGCCGCCACCACCTTTATCCCCAGGGACCCAGGAGGAGGAAACAATTTGCATGAAAGGCTCCTCTCTGCCCTCCCACGAGGGGACAAGATAAGAGAGACGTTGGGCCGCTCTCGGCCTCGTAGGCTCAGAAGCAGAGCGTGGGCACCTCCACCATGGCCTGGACCCCTCTCCTCCTCGCCCTCCTGGCTCACTGCTCAGGTGACTGACGGAGGGGAGCCGGACAAGTGACCGTGGGCGACACCTGGGATACAGTTTTTCCTTTTACTGGGAAGACGCTCTGAGACATAACCCCAGGCTCACGTCCCTGTGTGTCCACTTTTCTGTTCCAGGGTCCTGGGCGCAGTCTGGGCTGACACAGGAAGCCTCGGTGTCAGGGTCTGTGGGACAGACGGTCACCCTCACCTGCACTGGAAGCAGCCCTGCTATTAGACTACTTGGTGCAGGCTGGTACCAACAGGTTCCTGGGGCTGCCCCCAAAACTGTGATGCTTGGAACTACTCGGCCCTCAGGGATCCCAGATCGGTTCTCCGGCTCCAAGTCCAGCAACACGGCCTCTCTGACCATCACTGGCCTCCAGCCTGAGGACGAGGGGGATTATTACTGTTCTATATATGACCCTAGCAGCACTAATACCACAGTGCTCCAGACCCATGGGGAACTGCGACAAAACCCTGCCCTGTTCCCAGTGATCAACCCCATGAAGGCCTGGGACAGATAAAGAGTGTGATTGTGGCCGGCCCTAGGCAGGGGCGTCCAACGTTTTGATGTCTCTGGTCCACATTGGGAAAGAGTTGTGTTGGGCCACACGTTAAACACATTGCGACATGTAATCACACACACAGAAATCTCGTAACATTTTAAGGAAGTCTAGGATTTCGTGTCGGACCTCATTCATAGCCATCCTGGGCCACATGCATCCCATGGGCCATGGGTTCTCCACCCCTGCTTACAGCGTCCGACTCTGAGGGTCCGATTTTTTGAGCAAAAACCCACTTTAAGGAGCTACTGACAGGTGACCCTTCTCATAATTTTTTATGTCACAACTTTACTAGGTCTAATTTGCATGCCATAAGTTTCACTGGTTTATATGTACAGTACAATAGCATTTAACATATTGACAGAGTGGTATTACCATCCCATATTCTAATTTTAGAACATTTTTATTATCCCTCAGGGAAAGGCCCCACCCTTTAGTAATCTCGCCTCATCACGCCTCTGTCAGTCCCAAGCAACCGCTGACCCACCTTCTGGATTTCTCCATTCGCTCTCCTGGACATTTGTTTACACGGAAGAAGACAATGGGTGGTCCTTTGTGCCTGCCTCGTGTTCCTCAAATTCTTCTGAGTAGTGTTCTTGGGGTCCCATCCAGGCTGCGGCACGGGCCAGCAATCCTTGTTTTGGTCAAATAACACTCCGCAGTCTGAGCACACCGATGCCTGTTCCCCATCCCCTGCTGGTGGATACTTGTGTTGTCTTTTCTCTTTGGCTATTATGCATAGCGCTGCTGGGAACCTCGGCTCTGACTTGTTCTGTTTTGAGTAGATAAATGTTTTCCTTTCTCCTGGGTAGACGCTTGGGAGTGGAATTACGGGGACACATGATAACTTTGTCGTGACTGTGAGAGACTGTTAGATGTTTATCAGGGTGGCCGGGCTGCTGCCATTTCTGCCCGCAGTGTACCGGCCTTCCGATTCTTCACATCCTCCCCAACAATTGTTAACATGCTTCCGCTTATATCAGCCCTTCCAGTCGGGGTGAAGTGGTATCTCACTGCAGTTTTACAGAGAAACATCGATCGATTGCCTCTCGTCCACGCCGCGACGGCATCAGACCCGCCGCGCAGGCACGTGCCCTGATGGGGAGTCAAACCAGCCGCCTTTTGCTTTGTAGGACGACAGCCGACCAACGGAGCCACATCAGACGGGGTTCTTACTGCAGTTTTGACTTGTATTTCTCTAGTGATGGATGATATCCTACGACGCCCTGCAGGTATGGCTTTTCTCAGGTTATGAAGGTTGAAGGCTCTGTGGCATTTTATCTTAGCTATGGCCAATATCACTCACTCAAACTGTGGTCACCTCTACACAGAAGGAACTCAGAAGAGACTTCCTGTCACAGACCGTGGGATGGGCAGCGTTCCCAGGGGAGGACCCCAACCCAGGAGAGTCCTGTGGAAACGGCGGGGGAGGGCACGGCACCCGCGGGCTCGGGCTCACACACGTGCCTCGTAGCTCCTGCTCCCCGGCTCCTAGAGTTCTTCTTCCGGCCTCATGGCCAGGTATAAACAGAGAGACTGTCACACCTCCGGAACAAATCTGCATGAAGTCATGCTGGACACGGCGCAAGACACACTTGCTGCTGAGAGGGTTCCCGCAACGAGGCCCGAGCAAGCAGAGGTGCGCGGCTTCCCCATCATGACCCAGATCCCTCCGCGCTTCGCTCCCTCACTCACCAGACAAGGAATTTCCTTGGGGCGAAGTGAAGGACGTCAGTGGAGGACACTTACGCTGCCCTTGA